TTACCTTGTGTAATGCTTATTGAAGGAATAGTTTTTTACTTGGTAAAGTTTAGTTGATCGTGTCATCACATGGCTAATATTCAAGTAATTTGCTGCGTAAACAGCCTGCATTTCTGGGCGGAAGACTCATCTATATCTACAGAGTGGTCTACCGTTTGTGTATCGAAAATACGCTCATGACAGATGTGTTTGGTATTCTTTACAGATTCTTAAGTTACCTATGGTTGGTTATTTGCAATACCACTATCTTTTGATCCTGTCTCTCCACGTTTTTTGTACAAAGTTGGCAAGGTCTTAGGTTCAGAGTTGCTTCTTTGTTCTTAAATGGAATCAATGTGCTTATATTTTCCCTCGAATTAATAAATTATCTAGCATCTATACAACAGCTAAATTTGGACAGGATGAGGCGTGAAGATCTATTTGATAATCTTTTCTAAGACAGGTGACGTGTCGCTTGACGTTCAATATACCACATTCTCCGAGGCAAACATCCCTCAGGTTAGTGGGCAGTGTGCAATAAAGGAGATTGTAGACAATAGCATTGTAGGAAGGCATTACCTTTTTCGTTACCTCTTCAGCTGAAAATCTTGAGATTTATTCGGCTTTAGTGAGTTTCTCGAGGTTTTTATTATTACGTAGGGCTTACACATAAGTGAGGCGTGCTAACTGGTCAGGTTTATTGTTAACTTCAGTAGTAAAGTTTGTAATTACCTTAAATATTTACATTAAAAATCAGTACTTCGGTGCATATTAGAAAGAGTATTAGACTCCTTGGCTTGTTAGATTTTGGTTTTTCTCATTAACTGATCATAGTGATGGGCACACTGAATTGACATTTCACTGTATTTTTATATAATAGGTTTAATATCAACCAGTTTTACCACTGGCATACAGAATAAAGAGATAAAGGGGTTGTTTCACGGAAAATTATAGTGATAGTGATATTTGTGGATAAGAAGAGTAGATTTCAGAAGATAAAGGTTCGACGCTGTCAAGTACACATTTGTTAGACGCAGGGAAAACAGACTTACACCCTTTGCATGGTGCGAAACAAAAAGATATTTCCCATACAGGAATTACTAACCAATATGGAAGCTTAATGAGTAGAGAGCTCGTTTAACAAAACGGAACAAATAAGTAAATAGATAATGTTAATTATCAACCGGACTAATGCTAAAATAAGTTACCGTAGGTACACAAGGAATTCTAGAGATAATGTATTGGGTCATTACGCGAGATAGCAACTGTCAATTGAACAGTTCAGTTTCATAAAGTATGATCAGGACATAAAGACGTGTCAATTTTAACGATTGGGGACTTGTATAAAATGTTAAAAAATAAGTCTAAGATGGGTATTTGGAAACCTATAAATCACCTTGTAAATTTATCTTTACGAAGTAAAGTGCATTCCAAGCGAAAACTGAAGTCAGAAAACGCTGCCTACTCACAATGTTTCTCTTCTGGTTGTCGACTGGATTATGAAGACCTCCACATCTCACGGGGAGCATGGAATACAATGAACAACTTGGATGTAACCAGACGACTCGGATTTCACAGATCGCCTAGCTCTTCCATTACATACACAAGAACAAACGAAGGGGAAGACGGTCAGTGTAGCAGCAGCTCCTGCATCAGTAGGTCTCAACATACACAAGGGGAAAAGCAAAATCCTGAAATACAATACAGCGATCACCAACCCAGTCACACTTAATGGAGAAGCTCTGGAAGATGTGGAAAGTTTCACGTATTTGGGAAGCATCATTGATAAACAAGGAGGAACTGATGCAGATGTGAAGGCACGGATTGGCAAAGCAAGGACAGCATTCCTACAACTGACGAACATCTAGAACTCAAGAGAACCGTCAGCAAACACCAAAGTCAGAATTTTCAGTGAAGACATCAAAAGAGTTCTATTGTACGGAGCTGAAACTTGTAGAACTACAATCATCACTACAAAGATACACGTATCTATAAACAGCTGTTTCCACAATATGCTCTATATCCTCTGGCCAGACACCATCATGAACAACCTACTATGTCAGAGAATAAGTCAGCTTTCAGCTCGAGAGGAAATTAAGAAGAGATGCTGGAGGTGAATAGGACATACCTTGGGGAAATCGTCACACTACATCACGCACTAATTTGGAATTCTGAAAGGAAAAGGGAAAGAAGAAGACCTAAGAACACATTGCATCGGGAAGAGGAGGCAGACATCAAAAGAATGGATAGTGATCAGAAAAAGTTGGAGTGGAGGGCGCAGTCCAGAGTTGGTTGGAGGATCCTGGTTGACAATCTATGCTCCACAAATTGTAGCAGTTGTAAGTAAATAATAATCTAGTCACCGATGTACATTCACAGTGGAGCCCTGTTAAAGTTGTTGAATGACTCTGGTAAAGAATGAGTTACAATCATTAGGTCAGATAGCTGGTTTAAGATAAACAATGAGTAGTAAACGTCTTCAGTAGGTTCTGAGAAGCTGTGGATTTAATTGTTTAGTCATCTGGGCTTAATGTTCGATTTTTGTCGTGTATGTAGTTATATCCGGTATGATTCATCTCAGTAACTTGGGATATTTACAGATACGGCTTTCATTGAAAGCCGTATATTATTTGTCTATACCTTTTTACTTTAATTTATAAGATAAACATTGAGACATAATTTCTATTTGTATATTATTATTATTACTTGATTTATATTTCAAGCATTCTTTCATATGACTTTATCATAACTACTTCTTTACGACGAATTAATCCCACTCTGTCTAGCACTTACCTTGGGAAATGATTGTGTAAGAAAACTTTCGTATTATGAGTGGAAAGATGAGATACTGATTCTTTGAAGAGGAAAATATTTAAATACAATGAAGCTCAGGATTTATATTTCTTTTTGATATGATACTTTCAATAGCTAATCATTCTTGACAGCCTCAAATACTGCACCTAAAATCCCATGGCGAACGTGTTTACTGTTGGACAACTTGTACTTTACTACCACCATTAGTGTTTGCTTTTAAGTTTAATTTGACCTCATAGTTACACGTCTCCTTTCTCAAGAGTTGATTTTTACTTTATTTCAAAATATGAGATTTCTATCACGAGTTACAATCATTAGGTCAGATAGCTGGTTTAAGATAAACAATGAGTAGTAAACGTCTGCAGTAGGTTCTGAGATGTAGCAGCAGGCTTCAGAATTGTCTGGCATGCTTTGAAATGTGGGACACAAAAGAGTCTTGGTCTTTAACAGCTTAGGTGTCTGTTCCATCATGAAATACAGAGGGTTGTGTGAGGTATGACATATATCCAAAAATAAGCTTGAATGATCCTAACATCACAAAAGGAGGGAGGGTGGAGTTGCTGAACAGAAAGCATTGACGGTAAGGGCGATGACTTCAATCTACCCATGTTTGTGGGGCAGAATACTTTGTTTGTATCAGGCTCTTTATGATTGAGAATAAGTCGATCAATCTGTGATATAGATTGTGTTCTTACGCACACCACTCAGACTCGTATTTCTAATTTTATGCTGGATAAGCTATTCTACTAAGACAACCTATAACATGCTAACTCGGACTTTTACACTAGGATTGTGTGGTTGGCATCGGATGGACAAAAAAAAGAAAAAAAATAGACAGTAAAAGACGTAGTTATTAGCATTCTCAACAGTTCGCCCTCTATATGCACACTTCCTTCTAATAAACAAATCTCCTTGTATCAAACTTAACCTCCCTTCCTTTGTGTGAGCTTACTCCAGCTTGTTAAACGACACAACTCATTGTTCTTTTCTACTACATTCTCTAATATGGAGCCTCTGACTTCATTTCACTCTAACAAGAGATAATGTGAATTTAATCTAATTTATTATACCTCTGTCTGTTTTACTGCAAAATGTTGAGCAACGTTGTGTGTTCATATCCAAGTGCCTTGTTGCTCCTCTGTCTCTCTTTCTTTTTTTCTTCTTCAGAATCTTGCTCTGAGGGCACAGCTATGGAACTTCTGACGTCTGGAACAAACTTGACGTTCGCGTCTCCTCAAGGTCATGGTTTACTGCAAGCGCTCTACGAGTCTACTTTATGACAACTATAAACTTAATAAGTCGGTAAGCATGTTGTGAGCCAACAAATGTTGTAATTTGTAGACCATGCCTGTAAAAATGGCGTGTACCTGTTCATGTAAAAATATATTATTGTTATTATTATTATTATTATTATGAATACAATGTATACTAGTTGGTGAGAAGAAATATCGGAAAAATATGAAAACGACATCAAAATATGTGAAAATAAAAAATGTCCCAACAAGGAATAGACTCACACTTCACTGTCTGTGGTAGCAGATCACGACGATCTCACCTCTAAAGATGCCACAAGCATTCGGAGTTTGACAACGTCCTTACATGTAACACCTTAATAGTCAAAACATACCAACCCAGTCAAATAAAATGCCAGAAAAGAAGGGGCTCAGAGTTATATTCGGAAAGTTATCACTATTACGTGAAGCGTTTGATCTAAGCTGATTAGCCGTTGCAAGGGATGCCCAGAACGGAGTACCTACTCGAGATCTGGTATGAATGTGTGACCAAGCGCCTCCAGATAGGATGTCCAGTAAATTCGGTGGAGTTAGAATCAATGTCGTAGGCTGACTGAAGTATTTATTTTGGGGATTTATTTGACGCTACATACACAACCCTATCTTCTCATTCGATGTATTTTTACCCTAATTTATTTTGATGTTTTGTCCGCAACTTTCCTAGATTACTTTGAAAGAATACCGCGACTGATGTTATGTAATATATATACTTTTATAAATATTAATCAAATTTTCGACAAGTCATATCACAAATGCTATTCCCAGGAGCTCAATTTCCGAAAGCAACTCCGAAACTAAACATATTATTGTGGAAGGCTGTTTTACCTGAACGGCCAGACTTATTAAAACGAAAATCAAAGAGGTCTTAATCCCGTTTTTTTAACACTAAAGCGTTTCATGGCTCAAACCTTGACTTTCTGTCCTTCGGTACATCCGGCGCGAGATACAACTGTCACGCCTCACTGTGGTGTTCTACTGACCTAGAGCTCTCTACGGTAGTAGCTCGTAGAATCACAAATGGAGAGTAGAAGTGGAAGTGGTGCTACACCAGCGGCAAATTCTGTAACTCACTTGTCAAAAACTGTTTCGTATATATGCGGAGGTGAGTCACATCTTGGGAAGTGACTTGTCATTTCTATGTTTGTTGGTCTGTGTGTCTAGCTTGTTGTCAGAAACAGCTTGACAGCATATTTTCTGGTAAGGTAGGGTTTTGAACAGGGGTAGACACTTGCCTTCAAAATCTTGACTGGAAAGCTAGTCCAGCCTTCAGTAATAAGGATAGTAGGTTGGTGAACCTGTGTTAATCCTGACAGATTGCCTTCCAGTGAAGGTCGAGTTTCTCCTTGAAAATATTCAATAATGGGGTCGATACCACTTGTTCGGGTAAGGCGTTCCAATCATTGACTACTCGGTGAGAAAAACGAGACCCCACTTTAAGTTGATTAGATCGCAGTTTATGAACCTTCTTGTTATGACCTCGGAGATTATTAGTGCTGGAGGGAGCAAAAAGATAAGACATATTAACACCCAAATCATGATTAAAGCTACGAAATGCCAGTATAAGGTCACCTCGTGTCCTACGATACGACAAGGGGAAAAGATTTAGGCGTTTTAAACGCTCATCCTAAGGGAGTCTAGAAAGATCCTTCACTAATTTCGTTCCTACACGCTGGACACGCTCAAGTGAGTTAGTATCCTTTACCAGACATGGGCTAGCTGCTTGGATACAGTACTTGAATGTGGTCTTACGTAGGTGGGATATAAAATTCGAAACATTTTCTCGTCAAAAGATTTGAACGCTCGGCGAAGTGACCATAACGCACGAAAACCTTTGACAGCAGCTGCGTTGCAATGCGTAATTGTTTTGAAGTCATGATTTATTATTACTCCTAAGTCTTTATGTTCTTGAACACATGGAAGAGGTTTACCATCAATAGTATAATGGTAGCTATTACCGTGACCGATATGCATTAGTACACTCTTCCTAGCATTGATTTCTAAGCCCCAACCTCGAGCCCATCTAACTAAATCGTCTAAGTCAGATTGAAGATCCAGATGATCAGCCTCACTTTTTATCGTTCTCCAGATTTTTACGTCATCCGCAAACAATAATGTCGACGACCTATGAAACAGCGGTAACTCATTAACGTAGAGAAGGAAGAGCAGAGGGCCTAAGATGGTGCCTTGGGGCACACCACTTTTGACCGGCTTCCAATCGGATAGCGTCCCATTGACCCTTACTCTCTGTCTGCGGTCACATAAGAAGTTACCTATCCACTCCTGTACAGTACCCATTATTCCGAAGCTCGTGAGCTTCTGCATAAGACCTAAGTGTGAGACCTTGTCAAATGCTTTGCTAAGATCTATGAATATCACATCGACAGACAGGCCTTTATCTAAGGTTTCTGTCCAATCCTCTCTCGCAATAAGTTAGTCAAGCATGAACGCTTGTTACGAAATCCATGTTGCTCAGGAGCTAACAGGTTGTGTCAATCTATGTGGCTTAGCAACCTAACCCGAATTATCTTTTCAAGCAACTTAACGACAATGCTAGTTGGACTGACAGGTCGGTAGTTAGATACGATCTGGTCGCAAACAATCGATAAACGGGAAAAATACATTGAAAAATAAGGAAAAAATAATTGGGAAACGCACCTAAATGTCTGCTTTTTCGCCTGTCAGGTGGGAAATAAAGTGAATTTAAATGTTGATGAATTGTCTGCTTGTCACCTAAATATACGCCGATTCATCTAGTTTCGCTTCAATTTTTAACACACCTTTGGCCTAACCCCAAACGTCTCCTGTGTTCGCACTTATTTCCATAACAAACCACACGACAACTGCAATCGACGTTAAAGATGTTTAAGGAAATCTATTGGAAAGTAAAAAGCGTCATATTGTACAACATTATGAGTAGCTGACAGATGCTAGAGCATTGATCGTTACGTATTTCAATTGTAATTACCAAGTCTTGTTGTAATTTGAAAAGAAAGGACAGGTTATGTGTTACTAATTAGGCACGTGTACTTAATTATAAGTGCATTTAAAAGCAAACAGGTTTTCTCAACACTCATTCAGAGTTCCCCGTGCAAGTTAGAAGATAAGCGCATGTTTAAAAAAGCGTTTATTGGAAACGAAGTTAAACGTGAAGAATATTCCACTGGTAATGGCTTTCTATAACGCCTGTTGGACTATTGAGAAGCAAAGTAATCTCGTGAATTCTAAGATTTAAGATATTTTGAACTTTGGTTGTGTACTTGTGATTTTGATACTTTGGATTTGTATATTAATGTAGATGGACCTTCTATTTCAAGGAGCTCTAGTCAACACTTATGGCCTGTACTAGGACGCAACGTTGCCCGAAGGTTCAGCGACGTGTTCATGATAGGTATCTATGGAGGGAATACTAAGCCGATAGAATTCAACGAAATATCTGCGGACGCCATTTCTGAATTAAAAGAAATGACAGATATAGGTATGCTTGGTGTGAAGCTCAATAAATACATAGCTATTAAGTTGGTTGCTGTAATATGAGACGCACCTGTTCATTCTGATGTTAGATACACAGTTAATCACAATGGAAAGACAGGTGTACTGTATTTGGTCGACGGCTTGACGGAAAGATGACGTTTCCAAATGATGAATATACGTTGCAAACTGATGACGGCTTTCGTCAGCAGGTTCAATCTATTCTCCATCAAGGCCATTCCATTTTAGAAGTGCTTCCGATTAATATGATCTCAACTTTTCCATTAGATCTGATGAACATGGTGAACTTAGGTGTGACGAAGAATCTAGTCAATTCACAGTTAAAGTTTCCTCACAAACGACTAAGAAACATGAACCACAGGTGTAATTAGGGATATAAATAAGTTAATATATAGTTGCGTGGCAAGTAATCCGTCCAACGTTCAGTGTAAATGCCGCACATTAGACTTCGTCTCAGTATGGAAAACTTCAGAGTGTCGACTGTTTCTTCTAATATTTAGGTTCCGTAATTCTTCAACAAAGTTTGCCGCAACACTTGTACCTTAATTTCAGGCGTTTGGCTTTATCGATTTATTTGTTAGCACATCCAGGATTACATAATAGCGCTACAGATTCCGTCAGAATAGATTTATTAAACTTTCTTAAGGAATATGAATGGTTTTATGGGCCTGAAAACTTAGTTTAGAATGTGCATTTTTTGCGGCACCTTCATGACGATGTTTGTGCTGAAGAGGTCGGTACAATAATCTTACTAACCTTCTGTACAGCTGCATTGAAACGGAAGGAAGGGTTTCTTTACATTTCCGTTGACATGGATGTGGCCGAGATTCAGGCGACAAATTTGCAAATCAACAAAATTAATAGGATCATTTGTTCGTATTGCAGATGGCCATGTAGACATGGTTAATAAATGATAACCGTAAAACGTCTACACGCTATATTTTGTCATACGTTATGACACCGGGAGTTGCCGACCATTTCACACTTCATCGAAAAGAGCACTTCAGAAGTGCAGGTTTTACGGCTGCATAAGTAAGACATTTTTTGAAACTTCAGGAGCATTAACGAATCGGTTCCTACCTCATCTGTTAACGAAAAAGACCTTGCAAAACTGTATGATATCGCGACGTAAGGGTACTTACACAACATGAGACAAAATACAAAAGCGCCATTGAAGAAAACAAAGATATGTAGGTACTAATTTGAAGTGATAACTATTTCCTACTGTCCTATAGGTGCAGTGTTAACGAACATAACCGTAAGTAAAAATTCATATAGATATTTGTTTAAAAAACAATAGAAGTTAGATATCGATGTCATGTTTTGTGTTCATTAAATTTTGGGATACACGAGATTACTTTGCTTCTCAATAGTCCAACAGGCGTTATAGAAAGCCATTACCAGTGGAATATTCTTCACGTTTAACTTCGTTTCCAATAAACGCTTTTTTAAACATGCGCTTATCTTCTAACTTGCACGGGGAACTCTGAATGAGTGTTGAGAAAACCTGTTTGCTTTTAAATGCACTTATAATTAAGTACACGTGCCTAATTAGTAACACATAACCTGTCCTTTCTTTTCAAATTACAACAAGACTTGGTAATTACAATTGAAATACGTAACGATCAATGCTCTAGCATCTGTCAGCTACTCATAATGTTGTACAATATGACGCTTTTTACTTTCCAATAGATTTCTTTAAACATGTACCGCGCATAGAATTATTAATACTCTGTACTACCGTATGAGATATCGAGCAAGTCAGCGTTGTATTAAAATCAAACTCACCATATCGTGTCCTAAAGCCAGAAGTTGTTTCAGCAACTGGTCTCTCTGGCTACCTAACGCTTAAGCAACAATTGCTTAATGTACAACTAGGAAATAGCACACCGTCTCAGCTAAAGTGGCATATGCTAAACATTTTAAGCAATCTACAGGTTGACACGCCTTCGCTCTATCAATTATGGCTAAGGAGTCTACGAAACATCCAGTAGATTTCAATGTTTAGTGAACAAGAAGTCAATCTGGACAGGCTCCCAGTATTCACTGACAGGATGTACGAATGTTTGAAAACGCCAACAGTAGTTCCAATACTGTCACATCAAACGACCAACTTAAAGAGTTGAAGGAAATGGTTAATACATTAGTAAAATATGTGGCACAGTGCGACTAAACAGAACTTCGCGTTCAAATTTTAAGAGAAGATTAGAATGAAAAACTAGCACTAGTGTTGGACACTACACGTCACTCTCAGTTTGGTATTAAAAACCAGAGAAACACAACAGCCAATGATTACTGACTCTGGTCGCCGACCAAAACCTTCAAGATAGTCGTCTTCTGCATGTTACCGATAGGGTAACCGGTATGTATTTTCTGATTAACATGGGGAAACTAGGATGATACCATTCACCGCATTTGATAAACAAAACTTGAACCTCAAAGTTACTCTCTAAGCCGCCAATCGGTTGCAAATAAACCTATAGCAGAGGATGGGTAAATTTAAACTTTGGGAGCAACACTACTTCCATGGCTGACGTTTTGATACCAACAACTAGCATTGATGAATCAGAGTATTCTCTATCGTTTATAATTTGGCAGTCAATAAAAATGTACAGTGATTAAAATTTCTCAGATACATCTAGCAATATACGGCGCAAAGCTGTTACAAAAAATTCACTTTAAAGATAAGCAACCACACTTGTGAAGGCTCTTTACTCGAACACCACTAGTCGAGTCAGGGCTTATGGCGAACTGTCATCTACTTTTGCAACTTCAAGTGGTGTCCGTCAAGGCTGTCCACTTTCTCCATTTTTGTTTAACTTCATCATAGACCTATTGATGGAAATAACACTCTCGTCGACTGAATTCTCGGGTATTGATCTCCTTCCAGGAGGTCCACTTATCGACTTAGAATACGCAGATGACATAGTCCTGTTTGGTGAAGACGCTGACAAAATGCAGAGTCTTCTGGTAGCACTAAGCAACAATGCCAGAATGTTTGGGATGCGCTTCTCTCCCTCTAAATGCAAGTTGTTGCTTCAGGACTGGTCTGCATCAACACCTAAACTAAGGATAGGGAGTGAAGTAGTCGAACGCGTTGACAACTTCACTTATCTTGGAAGTCTGATCAGCCCTAATGGGTTGGTGTCTGACGAAATCTCAGCACGGATTCGAAAAGCTCGTTTGGCTTTTGCCAACTTACGTCACCTGTGGCGAAGGCGAGATATCCGTCTATCAATAAAAGGACGAGTATACTGCGCGGCAGTCCGTTCTGTCTTACTCTACGGCAGCGAAACATGGCCTTTAAGAGTAGAAGACACCCGTAAGCTACAAGTATTTGACCACAGATGCCTTAGAAATATTGCTGGCATCTGCTGGGATCACCGGGTAAGTAATAGTGAGGTTAGACGCAGGGTATTAGGGAATGATGGTAAATCAGTTGATGAGGTTATGAATCTTCATCGACTGAGATGGTTGGGCCACGTATTACGTATGCCTGAACACCGATTACCACGACGTGCAATGCTAACCGGTGTAGGGGATGGTTGGAAAAAAGTTAGGGGCGGCCAAACCAAAACGTGGCATCAGTGCTTGAAGTCACTAACTTCTAGTCTGAGCCATGTTGGTAGATGCAGACTACTTGGTTGGGGTCCGCGTGACTTTCGTAACCAATGGTTGGAGACTCTTGGTGACATGGCCCAGAATCGATCACAATGGCGTCGGTGTATACACTCCCTGTCTTCCCTTAAACTAAGAGATTAAAATCACTTCATACCTTTCTTTCTACGAACTAATTCTTCCTTCCTATACTATATCCTTATTGCAACCTTTGACCTAACCACTCCTATGAATCCGGTGTTCATCTTGTTGTGCTAATGAGGTATGGCAACCTGGACCGATGCACATATGTGCCTGGTCCTACGTTGTAGCTGACTGACTGACTTGGGATATTATCTTTTTGTTCACTGAATTTCGTCAGTTGGACTTCATCCTATGCAAATATATTCCTTTGTGAACAATGGAACTTTGAAAAAGTACATAAGGACCCTTTTCTTACGTGTAAAAGAGCACTTACTAGTGTAGCTCATTGAGAAACAATGTGGAAGTACACGATTTATTCTGGAATATTTGATCGACAACAAACACGAATTATTCGACCTATCATTCAAAATAATTTATAAAACTAAACCAAATCTACTGAAAGGTGTAAACACTTTTTTGTTACAAAAATACTGATGATACTCAGACTAAAGAAAGATATGTACATAGAAACAGTTTACAAAAATATTTTCTCTGTTATGGCCCTGGTTTTTTATATTCCTATATTTTCCTCCACGTTTTGCTTCGTTCATTTTGTTATCAGTTTATTGCATTCCGACATAACACCATAGTGATATAATAAGTGAAATTAATAATTCAACTAATTTTTATTTACCTACTTCAAGAATCATGTCACAGTTTCTCATATTTTAGTTATGTCTTTGCCTTTGAGTTTGGTGTCCGTTATTTTCGAATCAATTTGACTATTCATTTGTTAATCTATTTTATCTATTAATATGAATTTTATCCCATGAACTCATTACACACAGGCATACCAATGTCTAAAACTTGTTCAACACAATATTCCATATAGATATGAGTTTATAGCTTTTAAGAACCTGGTCATGAAAAACAGTTTCACTAAAATGTTTGCTCTATTTTAACAATTATAAAGTGTATTTTTTCTATATCCATGCCAAATTTTTTGTATTATCTTTGATGATGGCTTGTATGTGTTGGTCTAATTAATTATAGAATGTCGGGCTGAAAATGAAATTCGACCCAGAGAACTTGTTCGCTGTCTTGAGTGTGGACACAGAGTTTTATACAAGAAACGGTCAAAACGAAGTAAGTCAAGTAGAAGCCCTTTCTCTACCAACGTTTTGGATGACAAAATTTCATAACAGTTTCATGTCAGCATATTGTTTTTATATTTGCAAAGTGTGAAAAGTAGTCAGGCCATGTATAATCACTCTATGAGACCATCGACTATTTGTCTAAATCATGTAATGAGCGACTACTTAGTGTTTACAGTTTTCGACTTTCAACCATTGAGCCATAGGTTAGACGGTAGTATTACCGGCACACACACAAAATATAGCGATTCAAAAAAACCTGATAAATGTGTTTGGTAAGTTGCACTACACAATAAACCTGCCGGTTAGGATTTGTGAAGTAATCATTATCTGTATTTTGAAAGAAAATTACATATGGGTTCCAATAGCTCAAATGCACTCATTACTTATCTTGTCTTAGCTTTTGAAGTCAGGATAACTGAGTCAGCAGAGTTGAAGCTAGGCACGGTGTTTTAGATAAAAATGGCAAATCAGTTAACAATGTTCTGGATCTGCACCTCCAACAACAACGTAATATCACCTCGTAAACTTGCTAACGGTTGATTTAAACGCATAGACCCAGATTTTTGAAACGTTCTCTATATGATGAAAATCATTGGTTAGAGACCCTAAGTGCTATAATAACTCACAGTAGATTAGAGTGGTAGAGGTCTATTCACTCTTAATCCTTTAAATTTTATAACCTATGAATTAATTCCCATTGTCAACTTATGTGAATTTTTGATTTTAATGACTTCCTGTTTTTGTTTGTTTTCCTATTGTGTGCTGTTGTAAATTGTGACAGCATAAGCTAATAAACTTTTATGTAATGCTTTTAATTTGTACATCTGCTTGTCACACAGATTACAGTAGTTTAGAGCCGCATTCTACGTTAATAGTTTATTTACATTTTCTTGAAGTGTATTTTTGAATTTGAACTTCATATTCATGTTAAGTAACGGGGACTATGCACAGGATTGTTTACCAGAAAACTGAAGAAGTTAACGTTGTTATAGTTCGTAACAATATAGGGTTAAAAATTATGTTGGTCAAATGAATGAAAGACAACGAATCAGATATTTTGAGGGATTGACATATCTTGGTCGTTTTGTTAAGTGGTGACTGATTGGTTATAGAACTCGCTTTCCAACAAGTAAGTCACAGACTCGAACCCTCTCACATAATGTAGCTGAAATCTGACTGCATAAACTTGTACTGAACGATCGAACTACATCAAAGTATTGTTCAGATCACTGGTCGCTTCGATCTTCGGCTGTATCCCCCTAGATTTTATCCCCCTGTATCATTCTCCTGGATTCTCTGGCCAGTCAGTCAGTAACAACGTAGAACTTCATACGTACGTACATCAGTTCGAGTTGCCATACCACATTAGCACAGAAATGCAGTTGTCGATTCAAATCCCGTAGTGGCAGAGGTAGTAAGAGTATAAGCAGTAATCAGAAAGATTATGGTTTGAAGATGTTATTCAAGGAGTATAATACAGTGAAATAAATTTGGAAAGAGGAAAAAAGGGACATGAAGAATTCAGAAGATTAGAATTTGGGAGAACACAGAGAGTGGATGCACCTGCGCCATTGCAAACGATTTTGAGCCATGCCATTCAGGGTCTCTAACCATCTGTTGCTATCATCTCGCGGTCCCCAACCAGATAGTCTACATCTACCAACATGGCTCAGTCCACTTGTCAGTGACTTCATGGATTTGTGCCATGTTTTGGTCTAGCCGCCCCTACCTTTCTTCCAACCTACTCCCACACCAGAAAACATCGCTCATAGGGGCAATCGGTGGTTGGGCATACATAAGGTGTCCCAGCCGTCTCAACTGATGAAGTTTTACTACTTCATCAATTTATTTGCCATCCTTACCTAGTACCCGTTTCCTAACAACTGTATTACTTACTTGGTGGTCCCAGGATATACGAGTGATGTTTCGAAGACACCTGTGATCAAATACTAGTAACCTATGAATATCCTCTACTCCTACCGGCCATGTTTCACTGCCATAAAGTAGGACGGAACGAACTGCTGCGCAGTAAACCCGCCCTTTGGCTGATAGACGGATATCTCGCCTACGCCATAAATGACGCAAGTTGGCAAAAGCTAGTCGAGCCTTCTGTATCCATGCTGAGATTTCGTCACACATCAAACCACAAGGGCTGATGAAACTTCCAAGATAAGTGAAGCGATCGACACGCTCAATTACTTCACTCCCTATCATTAGTTCGGGTTTCGATACAACCCAATCCTGAAGCAACATTTTGGGTTTCTACGGGGAGAATCGTATGCCGAACATGCTTTCATTGTTGCTTAGAGTGGTCATAATACTCTGCATTTTGTCAGCGTCTTCACCAACTAGAACTATGTCATCGGCATATTCTAAGTCAACAAGTGGATCTGTTATAACTTTTGAACCTGTGTGCCCTGTATATTAGATAACGCAACGATACCGCCAATCAGAGAGCAGCGAATTATCGATCGAACCAGTGGTGCATAAAACACATGCGAACAGCCTAGAGTTCTGATTGGTCTCGCTCCCTGTCTAGCCCAGCCAGTTAGGTCCAGAGCTCAAGTCTCAGCCTCTGCGATATGAATCAATTATTTCAAACATACGGGGTTTATATACCAATCAAACCGACCACAATGTACCATAAAATAGGAAATAACATTTGTACAATATTTGACCAAACGTGGCTGTGAATGAGAGAGATAGTAATTAATAGACAGGCCATAAATCAAGAATGGTAAATCGTATAGTAATAGTCTGTGGGTCAAATTAAAGCTTATGATAAGAGCAACATGAATATGAACAGTTTAGTTACATAACAATTATACGATAAAAATATACTCATAGCATTGGTCCATAAATGGATCCCAAGAATTACCATTCATTATTCTTATCGGGATATAACAGGATCTCCCGGTAGAAGCTCAACCCCTGGAAATCTAGATGAGGAAAGTATCATCTCTAAAAGCAAGTCAACGACAAAGTTAAGAATGGAGAGTGGGTAGCCCTGACGAACACCACTTGAGGTAATCAATTCTGATGACAGTTCGCCATAAGCTCTCACTCGACCAGTTGTGTTCGAGTAGAGAGCCTTTACAAGGTTAATGTACTTCTTTGGTACTCCTTTCAGTGACAAACAATGCCATAGAACCTCATGATCGATAGAGTCAAATGCCGCCTTCAGGTCGAGAAATACTACTATTATGGGGCGTCTGGATGTGTGTCTATGTTCTAGGACCTGACGTAGTGTGAATATCTGGTCTATACAACCACGTCCAGATCGAAAACCAGCCTGGTTTTCTCTGGTCTGCTCTTCACGAGCTTTAGTCAGGCGTCGACGTATTATTGAAGCTAATATTTTAGACACTATATTATTCAAACTGATTCCTCTATGATTGTCACAAGAGGACTTTTGTCCTTTCTTATAGACTGACACAATCAGTGATTGGGACCAGTCAGATGGGATTCCGTCCAGTTCCAAAATTCTACCTAAGACCTCAGTCAATCTCACTGCTAATACTGAACCACCATCCTTAAAAATCTCAGGAGTAAACCTGTCAGGGTCTGTTGCTCTCCCTCGCTTCAAATTTCCTATGGCTTTTTCAACTTCGTAGAGAGTCGGAGGACCTACATTAACTTGCCATTCAGGTTGACTGGAGATCGTGGGAAACCGAAGTGTGGCTGAAGGCCAGTTGGACTGATCCCTGAAGTGTTCTGCCCATCGATCCAATCTCCTGGATTGAGAATGTATAATATGTCCATCTTTCTCTGAGATTGCTTCGCTAACAGTCGGTTTCCTAATACCAGTTTCCTTAACAAGTCTGAACAGTTGTCTGCTGTTACCTATTGCCTCTGCCTTTTCCATCTCTCCTGCTTTCGCTACCCACCACTGTTCACAATCATTCTCTGGTAGCACTAAGCAACAATGCCAGAATGTTTGGGATGCGCTTCTCTCCCTCTAAATGCAAGTTGTTGCTTCAGGACTGGTCTGCGTCAACACCTGAACTAAGGATAGGGAGTGAAGTAGTCGAACGAGTTGACAACTTCACTTATCTTGGAAGTCTGATCAGCCCTAATGGGTTGGTGTCTGACGAAATCTCAGCACGGATTCGTAAAGCTCGTTTGGCTTTTGCCAACTTACGTCACCTTTGGCGGAGGCGAGATATCCGTCTATCAATAAAAGGACGAGTATACTGCGCGGCAGTCCGTTCTGTCTTACTCTACGGCAGCGAAACATGGCCTTTAAGAGCAGAAGACACCCGTAAGCTACTAGTATTTGACCACAGATGCCTTAGAAATATTGCTGGCATCTGCTGGGATCACCGGGTAAGTAATAGTGAGGTTAGACGCAGGGTATTAGGTAATGATGGTAAATCAGTTGATGAGGTTATGAATCTTCATCGACTGAGATGGTTGGGCCACGTATTACGTATGCCTGAACACCGATTACCACGACGTGCAATGCTAACCGGTGTAGGGGATGGTTGGAAAAAAGTTAGGGGCGGCCAAACCAAAACGTGGCATCAGTGCTTGAAGTCACTAACTTCTAGTCTTAGCCATGTTGGTAGATGCAGACTACTTGGTTGGGGTCCGCGTGACTTTCGTAACCAATGGTTGGAGACTCTTGGTGACATGGCCCAGAATCGATCACAATGGCGTCGGTGTATACACTCCCTGTCTTCCCTTAAACTAAGAGATTAAAATCACTTCATACCTTTCTTTCTACGAACTAATTCTTCCTTCCTATACTATATCCTTATTGCAACCTTTGACCTAACCACTCCTATGAATCCGGTGTTCATCTTGTTGTGCTAATGAGGTATGGCAACCTGGACCGATGCACATATGTGCCTGGTCCTACGTTGTAGCTGACTGACTGACTGACTCTGACGAGATTCACAAGTTTCGAAAATTGGGTTAGTCATGCAAGTATTAAGAAACATTTACTATCATTTAAATTTGGAGTTCGATTATACTTAGTGGTAACTTTACCTCTTACAAACCTCTATGTAATTTATAAGTTCTCCTTTATACTGTGATTTTGGCAGTTTACATGAAAATTATTCACTCTCAGTGTCATGATGCATAAGAATTTGTAGATGGTATAAACGCATCCAAAGATAGTTGATATGGCAAACAATTTATAAGTGTCCTTCTTCCGATACAAATACGCTCATCAAAACAAGTGAGTATTTCTGTCCCTTCATATAATACCTTCAACTCCTAAAATTTTGACTTGCAGTATGCTTAAAATGAATTTTTTGTCTTAGAGTTTGGTTTAAATAAACATTAACTTCAGACAATCTGACATTTTTGTATTCTTATCGTTTAATCGATCTAAACTTTCCTTTATTTTAGTGAGTGTTTTCGAAGCTCGATGATGACACTTCAATCCTTATTGAATTTCTGTTTAATTTTGTAAATATTTTGCGAAATATAGATAAGTTATCTTGTGCAATGATCTCTTTATTCTTTCTGAAGTTAACTGATCTTATGCATACAAAGAGTGACTATGTTCACTTCTACTTACCGGTTCCATTCCTATCTGCTGCATAATGTATTCGATAGGTGATCAGACTATAATTTATCCTAAACATTATCATGCATACTTCGCACATGACATAAGGTAAACGTTCATAGTGCTATGTAAATTATGTGATGGGCTAATCTCTCGTTCTTTGTATAGTTAAAGCGTCTGGTTTTTTTACCTAGCAGTTAACTCATTTCACTTTATGTGACATGAATGTACATAATGGGGATTTGTTTCGTCCGTCAACATATTGAAAACTGGACACAATTCGAGTAAAGTTAGATGATATAGCCACACTTTTCCACTAAAAATGAACAATACAGTTGCGTAAGTTTGTTCTAAATCACTACTACTCCATATCTTTGCGTAGTGGTAAATATCTTTTGCTCAGAGAAAGGCTTTTCAACGTTGAGTGTACAGGCGATATAGTCTTACCATGTAGTGATATAGTCTGCTTAAATCATACTTAGTCAGTTAGCGATTAGCGTCTGTAGACATGACATAAATATGGAATACTTTTGACTCTGTAAGGTAACTAGTTTGGCTGTAAAACGTTTGATATATAACACTGCGGTGCAAACAATATGACTATACGCTAGCGAAATGTCTATCCGAGTTGCGGCACCTTGCGATTGTCAGTGTACATAAAAGATTGTTCGCATTTATTAGAAACATAATATAAGTAGTTCATAGGTTAAATGTCGTCATAGTAGAGACAACTTGATAAAAGTCATCTCGAAACATTGGTTTCTGTGGCTTGAATCTATTTTACTCATGACATCCCTACAGCTTTCACGCTAGGCAAAGTTAGGAAATATTGAGAATGACATGAATATGTAAACAGTGAATCGATTTGCAATATAGAGGAAGATTGTTGTACCGGTTTGTATTTTGTTAGGATATCACTAATTAATAGATAGAGTTACACAGATAACACTTCTTCGAAACGTTAACTGCTGAGTTAACTGATCAACACTCAATCATTTAAATGCTACGAGCATGCATTGTAGGTGAAAACTGGTGGACAAGGTTGCCTACTCACAATGTTTCTCTTCTGGTTGTCGACTGGATTATGAAGACCTCCACATCTCACGGGGAGCATGGAATACAATGAACAACTTGGATGTAACCAGACGACTCGGATTTCACAGATCGCCTAGCTCTTCCATTACATACACAAGAACAAACGAAGGGGAAGACGGTCAGTGTAGCAGCAGCTCCTGCATCAGTAGGTCTCAACATACACAAGGGGAAAAGCAAAATCCTGAAATACAATACAGCGATCACCAACCCAGTCACACTTAATGGAGAAGCTCTGGAAGATGTGGAAAGTTTCACGTATTTGGGAAGCATCATTGATAAACAAGGAGGAACTGATGCAGATGTGAAGGCACGGATTGGCAAAGCAAGGACAGCATTCCTACAACTGACGAACATCTAGAACTCAAGAGAACCGTCAGCAAACACCAAAGTCAGAATTTTCAGTGAAGACATCAAAAGAGTTCTATTGTACGGAGCTGAAACTTGTAGAACTACAATCATCACTACAAAGATACACGTATCTATAAACAGCTGTTTCCACAATATGCTCTATATCCTCTGGCCAGACACCATCATGAACAACCTACTATGTCAGAGAATAAGTCAGCTTTCAGCTCGAGAGGAAATTAAGAAGAGATGCTGGAGGTGAATAGGACATACCTTGGGGAAATCGTCACACTACATCACGCACTAATTTGGAATTCTGAAAGGAAAAGGGAAAGAAGAAGACCTAAGAACACATTGCATCGGGAAGAGGAGGCAGACATCAAAAGAATGGATAGTGATCAGAAAAAGTTGGAGTGGAGGGCGCAGTCCAGAGTTGGTTGGAGGATCCTGGTTGACAATCTATGCTCCACAAATTGTAGCAGTTGTAAGTAAATAATAATCTAGTCACCGATGTACATTCACAGTGGAGCCCTGTTAAAGTTGTTGAATGACTCTGGTAAAGAATGAGTTACAATCATTAGGTCAGATAGCTGGTTTAAGATAAACAATGAGTAGTAAACGTCTTCAGTAGGTTCTGAGAAGCTGTGGATTTAATTGTTTAGTCATCTGGGCTTAATGTTCGATTTTTGTCGTGTATGTAGTTATATCCGGTATGATTCATCTCAGTAACTTGGGATATTTACAGATACGGCTTTCATTGAAAGCCGTATATTATTTGTCTATACCTTTTTACTTTAATTTATAAGATAAACATTGAGACATAATTTCTATTTGTATATTATTATTATTACTTGATTTATATTTCAAGCATTCTTTCATATGACTTTATCATAACTACTTCTTTACGACGAATTAATCCCACTCTGTCTAGCACTTACCTTGGGAAATGATTGTGTAAGAAAACTTTCGTATTATGAGTGGAAAGATGAGATACTGATTCTTTGAAGAGGAAAATATTTAAATACAATGAAGCTCAGGATTTATATTTCTTTTTGATATGATACTTTCAATAGCTAATCATTCTTGACAGCCTCAAATACTGCACCTAAAATCCCATGGCGAACGTGTTTACTGTTGGACAACTTGTACTTTACTACCACCATTAGTGTTTGCTTTTAAGTTTAATTTGACCTCATAGTTACACGTCTCCTTTCTCAAGAGTTGATTTTTACTTTATTTCAAAATATGAGATTTCTATCATTTCTTAGTCGCCTCAATTCAGTCTAGTCAAACAACTCAAAATCTGTGAGTTGAACAAAATTTGCATGTCTTAAAATTGAAAAATCGATAGTTCTTTATATGTCATGGCCTACCGTCATTGGTTATGCAGTTGATATTAGTTTTTATGATTGATTTCACGTCAACAATTTTTTGTACACGATCAGATTCAGCTGGTTTTTTTTTACTTAAATGAAATAAAGATTAAAGTTTATAAGAAAAAAGTGTGAAACATACGAATGTTTTTTCATTACTTTACGAGAGATTGCTTTGTTAATTTAGCCTATTTGAACTATAAGTTGATTTAAAATACTTGTTAACTGTGATATAAATATACATAAACAGCAATATTTTAGAGTAATACAAGGTGTTATTTATGATCTTTAAAGCCTCGTAGAATACTCGCCCATGACCTAGCCAATTCACGGTAAAAGTCGCGCATTACTTCAGCCATATAGCGGGGATCCCATAAACTCTGATTGTTATCCTCAGTTTGTGGTACGTCGTCTTTGCTTTCATTTTGAGTCGTAGTAGGATCACGTTTGTTTTGCTCATTCGTGTGTGATTGTTTAGCTTTCATCAGTTGGTCAATAGCTGTCTTACTATTCAAATGAAAACGCTGCATTTGATGACTAGGGACTAATAGATTGTATTGATCAAGTAATCGGTTTAATTCTTTTACTTCCTCCTCAAAATCCTGTTGAAAATGCGAAAAAAGATAAACACTTTATCATGAATTAAATGACATACTGTTATGAACGAAATTTATCATATCCAAAACAATCGTTATTATTTGAACGTTAACTTGAATTTCAAGTTGTCGAATGATATTCTGAACTATTCAAGGGAAATTTCTGCATCCTAGTTTACACTTATATGATAGTTGTAATCCATGGTTGGTTACCTTAGAAGATATGACTGGAAACCGGTCTCAACAGTGCAGTTGTATTCATTTTTCGCCTTCCTCCTTGATCTTGAGTTTAGTGTGTTAATGCACACTTAACAAAGTATAGATACATAAGAAACAGTAAATTATAAAGCATACCTACAAAATGATTCCGACCGAATACATTCGGTCCTTTTTAAAGAAGTCCTTAAGAAAAAATTTATTATTGTAACAATTGAATTTCTAGAAAGATATATTAAAGGTAGAATGTTTGTCAATCTGAATGGAAAATGGTGTGGTGCCATTTTAATTAAAGGCTATTGTACTATGAGGATTATATAAACCATTTAGATAATCGTTTTTTGCAAGATATCTGGATATCAGATGATTACCGCATGCGAATTTTCTTACCGAATGTTTCTATAGAAACTTGTAAAGATAGTGGACTCACAATAATGCCTATTTGTATTCTCCGCCTACACACTTTCCTACTGACTACAGTCCAGGCAACAACTGGCCTGAATTGTATCAAAAGGTGTCAGTTTAAATTCAAAAGATCAAGTATACAGATGTAGTCATACATGGGATTGACTTAAATATGCGGGTAAAGAGCTTAACCGGAAAAGCATCTTGAGAGTATTTCTGAAATTCCATGATGGCAAACCGATGAGAATTATCGTCTTTTACGGTCTCATCCCATTAGCAAATCGTTCATAACTTTAAGTATCGGAAGGAGAAAAAGTGTCCTATTCAATAACCATTAACGTCAATCTGTTTATGATCACAATTAAATCATATTGTTATAAATCAAATAGGAACGGTGAGAGCTTATCGGTATTATTTGAGTAACTACCTAACATCTGATCGTGCATTGATTTGTTCTCGTATATGTCATTCCTTGAATACTTGTAAGATGTAGGCAGTTGGAAAGTTCATCATTCTGAATAAGAAAGCATTAATTTTGTGTTGTAGGAGGGATTCGCTAGACAGTCGATGAAGTGTAACGACATTATAGTTTATCCAAATACTCAGTTTATTATGGCAGGAAGAGAACTCTATCTAAGTTAGTGAATCTTTACAACAAGTTATAAATTACGTATGAAGGCAATTTTAACGAGAATGAGCTACGACTCTGCTCAACAACTGATGGCAGTGTGATGGGTAACAAAAATGTAAATGGATAAGATGATGACGTCAGAAAATGGTTAGTAGCAATTTTTCCTGCTAAGTCTGCCACATCAAAAAAGGAAAGCAATTTAGCAAAAGAAAATTTTCTTGTCGACGACCTCATTTACTTAAGCTGTTAAATCGTATTTATAGTCAATTTTATTGACTAAAATAGTGTTCTATAGCGAGATAGAAAGGTGTTAATTAGTTAAGAAACTTGAAATGGTATGTTGTCAAGATTTGGAAATCAGATATTGAGAGGAAGTTATGTAATAATTGGCTAGTGGAAAAGTGGTGAGGTGGAATAATTGTTCACTTGATAGTTATTGAAAACAGAATAATTAAAAGTTTCGATACTTGCTATTTAATAATTGCGAAAATAATTGGAAAGGAGTAGGAAGGATAGTGATTAATAATGAATAAAAACGATGGATTATGGAAAATAGAAAGGGAAGTTAGAGTCGTAGGAGAATGAGGAGTGGAACGTACTGTTTTTGTACGCAAAATTAGTCTTAAACTCGTGGATAACAATAGACTCTATCATATATAAGTTTTTCCTTTGCATCCTTATTGCGCCAACTCTTCTGACTGGACGTATAATTCTGAAGAAGGTTTCTGGTGAAGTGGAGTAGCCGGAATTGACTACATGCTCGAAGATTGAGCTTTTGACTGAATTCTGTAATTCTTCGGAGAGCCAGTCAGGGTAATGTTCCGAGATGTGTTTCGAAACGGCTCACTCTGTGAGGCCAATATCACCTGCTCCACATGAGCAAGTAGACTGATAGATGGACATACGATACGATTGTACAGCTTAAGTAAATGAAGTCGAAAAGAAAATTTTTGCTGAAACTACTATAAAATAATAGAGGTCATCAACAATTTTCCGAAACAGGTGTTAGACAATACACTGTGACAGACAGTTCAAGCAGCTTAAAACTGCACTTCAGTGAATCATCAAACTTTTACCTAAGTTGAGAAGACTGCGAAAAAATTGGACTAGACAAACTGTCGAAGCCCGACAATCTGCTGACAGAAGCGGTTTTGAACTTTGTGTAGATTTCCGATTCCTAATGTTCACTTATTTTGTTAATAAGTTTAGCAATCTCAGTCTATCCATTTATTTACTAGTTTCTATAAAGGTTCATTTATTTGTCTATCCTATAAACTTGATACCCACCAGTATTGTACATCTACAGCCTCATATAAACTCGAGCTTGAGACCTGGTTTTGTAATGAATGTGTTACCTTAAGACCAATGAGTCGGAAATCCAATGGTCTACTTTTCCAACTACAGTTAACTAGTGATTACAGCACTACTATGATTATATCTTTTACTTATTCAAGAAGAATATCTGTTGTTGTTGTTGTCATCATAAAGGTCGCTTACCTTACAAGCTTCTGACCATATTGTAGAATGTAAATTAGATGCTACATTATAGACTGAATTTAACTTATCAATAGCAATATTCCAACGAGAATTAACTTCTTTATTTAACAAAACCCATTTTGGCAGGAAACCTTGATTAGCCATTAATTGGTTAAGACGTCTATCAGTTGAGTCCCCAAATACATAGGGATTTTTATCATAATCAATTGGATGACCTTGACCTGATAAATTATTAAATTCTCCTTGATTCATTGCTTTTTGAATTTGTTCTTCAGCTGTACGTGAAATGTAATCTACGTGGTCAGGCTAAGTAAATTAAAAAAAGGAAACATGAAACATTGTATATCGTCAATAAAAGAACTCGGGATTGGTTAAGTTGATATAATAATTGAAAATTATTGATGGAGATTTTTTATATATGACCAAAGATTCCAAAAACATTTTGCTATTCTGAGCAGTAGAAATGTTGGTACACTGGAAAATCTGCCTTGCCTTTCAGTAATAATTTCTTTTAGAAATCTGGCAACAGTTTATGGATCTATTCCTAGAAAGGTTAAACAATTATCTTTGATTTGAATAACTTCAATCTAGAATCGTTGAAATTTATATACCAGTGTTGATGACTTCTAGATACCAACAGTGTTAAGTTGTTTTCGAGACGTACTGAAGAAATAATAGAAATTGTTTTATACTAATAAGTAGGCTACAAACTCATTAGTTGGAACAGCACGGTAGAATAGCGCATTGGTTTAGGAAAATATAAGTACAGGTATACAGCTTGTTTTGTTTACTGATAAAACTACCGTTTGTTTAATCTACATTTGTAAAAACCGATCCATTTAAACCCTCATCACCACCGAATACGTTAGTCGCAAATTTACAGTAGAAACTATTGATTTTGGGAACTTGACCGGGTAACGATTTGACTAACTAGGGCAATTGACCATAAACTGAAATGGGAAAATTATGAAACACAAATCATAGTACTAGTTAACAACGAGTAATATGTTAAAATCTCAGTAGCATAGATAATCCTATCGGTTGATCATGAGAACTCAGTTTTATAACTGAAGTCAATTAGATTATGAAGTTTTACATCATGGACTGACTTTGGTTAGACAATCTCTGAAAGTCAGAGAGAACTGAACAGTTGTTACATCATAGTCTAAGGTGACTCAATAGTAGGTATTCCCGGTTTCACTAGAGATCGAATCCAGGATATCTAGACTTCTCAGATGACGCTTAACAAGAATCTGAATTAGATAAGTCAGATTAACATAAGCGTAGAAACTTCGCTTGATATGGAATGCTGGAATTATACCAGAAGAATTATTCTACACACGTAATGGGAAATAAACATATATTACGATAGGACACAACAGCAGGTCACAAGAGAGATGTAAATTAGTAAAGTGAGATAGGTTGATGTAATACTGCTCATTAATTCGTCAATAAAAAGTTGAACATTTATTCTAGGTACATGAAACCAAAGAACGGAAATTACCATAACTTTAAGCTAATAATTATTAAACTAGAATTTAGAACTATCATGTCTTTGAACCATTAGCCTTCTTTCAACTTACACCTATGTCAACCAATAAAGCGTTTCTAGGTAGACAGTGGTTAAGCACAACATATATTTCAGCCACCTCGGTCGATAAAACTGAGAGATTTATTAATCGACCTGTCTTTTATAACTAGCACCATACATTTTATCTCACATTATGACTCGACGGTTCCCATAATACGAGGACAAAGCTTCAAAGATAACTACGGTAACAATATTGGATCTTATAAATGCTTTCTTCAGTTTTACAACTGTAGAGTAATATAGAAGGGATTGATGCACATCATACTCTCCCACTGATAGGCAGTGTGCATCCACTATCTTTAATGTGGGATTCGGATCCAGTACATTCGGTCTCGCGTGCAAATGCCTAACCTCTGGACCACTGAGCATGCATCCGATTGTGTTAATGTCTAACTTCAACCAATCCACGATATTGTGCAACCGTCCTCCATTGCCTTCAGTGAGTAACTGCCTCACACCAGACAAAGTTGAGCTCCACTGGTTGCGGCTTCTCATTATTATTCAGGAAATCCATCTTGAATCTAATAACTAGTTAGTACATGATAATTATCAGTAAAGGGTTGTGGAGATGGTTGAGTTTTGGTTGAGATTATGCTGAGGAGTCTCATACCAGGATGAAACGGCCATCCAGTGCTTCCAGGTTTTCAATGATGGTCTAACGTTGATCCCTTCATGATCTCAATCAAAACATATATTACACACCAAAATATGATTTCCGTACAGTTGATGAGAGCGTTTTTAATAGTTATTACGGTGACCATATCATTAGAATTAGATTGATAAGCAGTTCTTATTATAGATTTTAGTATCATGTCATGAAAGTAGGATAAGAATCCCAAGAATCTGTAACACATAGATTAATCGGTCAGATAATATGCGGAAATATGTTAATGAAAGAGCTATCTTATACTGTCTCTTACTTGGTTAACGAGCAGGCGGATAGATAACCTTTAGAATATTTATTTGAAATATTGTCCACAGCCTTCTCTTAAAGCCTATGAATCTTTAACTAAACTCTATTTAACTATGAAATTAAAGTATCCTCAGCACAGCAAATCATATTTGACTTCAAAACAATTTTCACTATAAATGCTATATCAGATAATAATGATTTTTCCCTAAATAATTGCAAATAGATTTCACATTGTTCGTATGCACAAATATTCATTAATGCACTACAAAAAGTGAGGATGATAAACGTTATGGCCAGATCTAGATCCATTTGAATCTTTTCAATTTTTACAAAAATGTTTTCTGTCCAATAGTGAATCACTAGAAACTTAGTTTTCCTTGAAATTTAAAAGTGAATGAACAAAAAGACAACCTGTCCTAACTGACGTACGTTGTTAATACTATTTGAATGAGAACAAGTAAGCGTCTGCTTCAAAATAGCACATTATACCTAATCATAGCAATTCAACACACCTTTAATAATTTACAATCATATTACTTTCGGGATTTCACATTGTATAATTAATAGTTTTCATGATACTTTCGATTATGCCTCAAAACTTAAAACCTAAAATCTGAAAACTGATTATTTTAATAGTAATAATATAGTTTCACCCGTTCAAGGAATAGCATATATTCTATTCAATTAAAATTACTCCAACTGTTATATATTTATACTTCGGACCATTGATATAAAATGAACGTTAATATAATAACATTGAAATTTTTCACTACTACATAGTATACATGATATGACTACAATTGGAGTCTAATATCCGCATTTCGTTCTGTTTGGAACTCATCAGGTGGATGCACTTCCATCCCAGTGATGTTCATAATAAAATCCGAACCCATTGTCTATCGGAAAATTGAAAATGTTTACTAATATTCACCGTTCTGTTCATAATAGTCAAGTCTGTCAAACCCAAAAGTAGAAATATATATATCTTGAGATGTATTTTTGCTAGCTCGAGTACTGGGAATTCTTTCCAATGTTATCATTCAGTTTTTCTTTATGCATTGTATAGCCAAAGAAAAGTGTATTGTTAGGTGTATTTGTAAGCCAATAAAAGTCATAATGAAAACTTCATAATTGTGATTTTATGTTTAAAAAATGGAAGATTCATTAGTAAAAGTATAGTATAAGGACAATCTAATCAGAATTGAGCTCATAACTTTTCAGTTTTTGCTCAAAATTCAAATATCATATAAAACGAGAGGATAGGATACGTGTTCGTGAATTTGTAGCGCATCAGCTTCGCAGGATTTAGTATTTATCCAACCTTTAGCATTTTTCCGTTAATTCGGTGAATGAGTGCTTCATAAAAAGACATCATTTTTATTGAAGATTTCATTCTAAGCTCTAACTTTCGCCTTATTTGTTTTTTTCATCCGGGAATTTGGAATGCGCTACAGTAGCGTATTCACAGAAGACACATGCACCTAATTTTAGATGAAGTCCCCAGTGAAAGTAATGCTCTTGTTTGCAACAGTCATTTATTTAATGAAAGGAAACATGCTCGAAAATATTTGATATTACATATACAAGAGGTAGAAATACCTCTGTATACTGCTCAGAACGTTCATAATGATGAGGAATGATTACTCTTTTCATCCATGGAGTAGAAATTATAGTGCTAAACGCATCAAATGATTAGTTCTGTGTTTCTTTGTTGTATACACGAGAAAAATCTACACCATTTCTAATCACTAACCTTAAAGTATTAATCTTGAAACAAACCTTAACCTGGTGGGACTACATTTTACGGACGGAAAAGTCAAACAGCACCTCTCCTATTTCGTGATGAAAACACTAACTCTAAACAGATAATCCTAACCCTAAATACGTAATTCTGACTAAGAATAATGAGGGGACACTTAAAAGTCTATTGAGTCATTTTAAGGATGTTAGATGATGGACAATCTATCTATCCATAAGGAAAAATTTATATATCGTTTTTTTATTTACAAACAGATTAGCCTGTAGAATACATTAAGAGATTCATTATTTATATCTAATCTGTTTACGCTTTAAAGTATTATTATCTTCTTTTCCATAAACTATCTATTTAAAAAATCTGGCTTCCGATTGACTGGAAAGTAGTTGGGAATTCGCCGCCATTGTTTTAATTTCATCCTTATAATGTACTTTTACCGATTCGTTTAGTAGAATGGTTATATAAAGAACATAAAATACACCGTTCATTGTTCAGGCGATTTTCACTTGATTATGACAACTAAGAAATAAACTTCTATAGATTAGAACTCATTCTATATTTAAACGCTAAAACGAGAGTTCAGTTAATTATAATTGTTTGACTAATCAAACTAAGGAATAAATAAAGGCAGCCTTCTTGAATATCTGGACTATCTGTTCCTGCTATCTAGATATTTAAACAAGTTATCTGTCTTTTGTTTATTTTAACAGATCATTATATCAATTAATTGCACAATCTATTCAAGTGCTTTTGTAAAACGTTCACGACCTTTCGCTGTACAAGTTAGGAAAGAGCACAATCAGAGACATTGTGGTTGCTGGCAATATACATAAAAAATTGTACATTGTTCAGATGTCGATTCCTGAACTGCTGACATCTAATTGGCGATTACTCAATATTTATCTTCAAGATCGATCAAGAAATAAGAAATGGAAACTTGTTGAAATACTTTGTGTTGAGAATTCTATATTGTACCAAAAATATAATATTGAATAAAGCTAATAACAATAATTAAAAAAAAATTTCTGTTTATTTGAACGCTTAAATGAGATAATTAGAGGGGATCGACGAAATGATTTATTAATTCATATTGGAGATTAATTAATTTCATGTTACATCTTTCTCAATAGTAACTGAATTTTATTAATTAGATATAACAACCAAGCTTTTTTTTAAAATTCGATTTCCTGATTTATAGTATTTATTCTATAGAGTGATTTATTGAAAGATATTGAACAAAAAGTCTATCTGAGGAGTTATTAAAATCTGAAGAAAAATCACACTTTTTAAATATTGTAAGCTAATTTTTGACTGTGATATTAGATCACACAGATTTCAAATGCTAAATGAATTTAAATTGTCTAAAAGATTGATATAATCTCAATAATTTGGAAATTGTACCAAACAAAATTTTGCCATTCAACCTCAACTAATCCAGGCTGATAAAATTACACACAGAAGTTGATTAATGTTGTAAAATTAACTATATTTACAGATTTCGGAAAACAGATCTATACAGATTTATATATATTCATATTACAAATATATAAATTCTTTATACCCACCTTCTGATGCACAAATTAATATAGTGACATGTCATACAAATTCATTTTGACCAAGAATAACTTGACACTGACATATTCAGACTTATTATTATTATTATTTATCTACCCTGATGAAGTGATTTACGTTAAATCACGAAACATCAAAAACACAATTTCCTAATCATTAGGATATCACAAAAGATATATTTATTACCAAATTCATAGTGTTTCTTTTTTCAGAAGTATCATAATTATTGATCAACTAATAATAATAACAAATAAAGCGAGGATAATCGAGATATGTAGATTGACATGAGTTCACCATATCTCAAAACTACTCATCAGCTAGAAACACACTAAATCTATGCTAGTAATTTTGTTTATAAAATTTTCAACATACCATAATTAATGAAGTAAAGTTTGAAACGAAATAAGGAACAGGAAGAAGAAATAATATACTCTGCATAATAATTAAAGTTGATTGGTATTTGTATTTTGAAGATTAAGTCATTTAAAGAAAGAATGAAGTTATAGATGATAATAAAAAGAGAATCAATATAAACAAATTGTTAGCAAATGAGTAATGTGCACTGCTGAGGAGTCCCACATTAGGACAAAACGACCGTCCAGTGCTTCTAGGTCTTCATTGGTGACATAGCTTAGATCGACTCATGAATTCAACTATTAAAATGTGTACAGAAAAAAGGTGCTAAACCACTTATTGCTATGATAAGATAATCATGTTATTTGAACACTTGTCGATTACATTATTACTTTATTGTGCTTTTTTTTTGTATTTTGTGGTATACAACCTTTCTGCTTAACTAATGGATCTATTCAACAAATATTCACTGACTGTCTTCAATTACATCGTGATTGTCTAAATTGATATACCTCGGTGGCAATCAGATATATTTGTCAAAGCTCAGTGTTATCCCGATACAATCAAGTACTACCACACTGAAATACTTAAACAGCCTTAAAAAAACGATGAATTTTGGAATCCAAGCTGCTGGTTTTCAAACTTTCCTAAAACACTAAATAAAAAGATTTTGGGAGATATTTTAGTCATTAGAAATAATGCCTTCATAAAAAGCTCAGATCATTTCGAGGTATCTACTGAACAGAAATTTGAAAGTATTAGAGTATAAGAGCACTGTTTCGTTAGAATGGACGACTCAAAATTAGGACGCATTCATGGATTCTGTAAGAAATAGCATCTACGATTCTCAGAAACTTTATCGGAAGTATGAGTTTTTCTTCTTTATTTGGTTGATGTTTACAAATTCAATCATTATATCTGGCCGCAGAATCTTAAGTTACACGTGCCACTGTGAACACAAAGATTTCAGTCAAACTCTACAGAACAAAACTTATCATTATCAATTTAAATGATTGTCCTCAAGCTATTTTATAGAAAGAATTGAAAGGTTTGCATACTAACAAATTAGTACGCTTCGACTGACTAGCATGCAAATTAAAACTTAACAATATTCGGAATAATATTGAACAGTTTAAAGTAAGCTGAAATGTATGCACACACAATGGATACTGAGTAACTTGGTCGTAGTAAACCTAATCAAAACAAGTAATATTTAACAATAGTGACATAAAAATGGTTATAGATTTTCATCAATTCAGTCTTAATAAACGTTATGTTAGTCATAAAACAGAGGAATACGTAGGAATGTATGAAACTCAATTAGTATATTGTGTAATTAAGAAAACACATGTAAAACCCAAGGAAATCCATATGGTAAGTATCGAAGAATGTAATTTGCCATATTTTTTTCCTAATGATATCTTAGTGATTAATATTTCTTTATATCACTAAAACAATTCATTAAAAAAGTTTATAGGTCATCTATATATGTAAGGATCTATAAAGTTGTGCCTTTAAACCCGTTAACATACATGAGTACTTAAACAACACCCATCAGTAGATTAATCAATCTTCAACCTTCATTAATTTATTTTTTGATAAACCTAAACAATTGAAAGCTAATTTCAATCATTGTTATATGCTATGATTCTTATTATACAATACATTAACTACTACTGACTTTAAAGCAGTATACAGCTAATAAGAATTTTAGGAAGTATTATAAAATTTGTTTTTAGCTACTTGAATACATGAAATCAGAGCTTCAAGTTCAGTTATGTTATTTAAACAAGTTTAATGATAATTGATGCATGAAGATAAATTTACTGACATAAAACGTTTACGTAAATTAATTACCGTGTTTATATCAATATTCTTTTTGCTAACACTCAATCTTTTAGGTATTAACTTGTTACAATCCCTTTGACTATCGTCATAATCATAGTTCACAGATTTCATAAGGTTTTTCACTCGACAATCGGTAGCACCTTGTAACGCTTTTACCACTCTCTGTGATTGTATATATTTACGATGTTCATTTAATCTTCCACTGTTTACACATTGTTGTAATCCGTCTAAATGTTGTTCTTGTCTTCCTAAATCTAGAAAACGTCTATGCTAAAAAAGATTTTTAAAAAATGGATATAAACAAGTAAGAATACAATAGTAAGAAAAAGATCACGAAAGAGAAAACAATATTAAAAAATACACATCAATACTCACCAGTCAGTATAGCCGAGTGGACTCAGCTATCAAATAAAAAGTGAGAACTGATGTCCAGAAATAACCGTACCGGACGATGGTCCGATCATAAAAGAGTTAGTTTAGCGATGTACTACATCAAGAGATTTTAAACTAAGATTAGTTTTCCATGGATGTTATTTATTCTCTAACTAATGTCAACTTGGAAATATCTGTACATAAGACAAGACGAAAAAGTGAAGCGGTTTGGGAAATTCATCAGACTACTGTATTCTTGCTAGCCTGAATCTCATATATATGTGCGCAAGACCGAAGGTCTTTGAGTTCGGTTTTTTGTGCTGAGAAGTCCCATACTGAGATCAGACAGCTATCCAACGCTTTCAGTTTTTCACTAGTAGTCTAACTTAGATTGGTTCATGATTTCAGTTAAAGACAAACTATTCAATTGGATTATTTATACTGGTTAGGAAAGTGAGTGGAAACGGGAGGCGATGCAACTTTTATTAGTAGCCTAACATGTTAATTTCTAATTAGGTCGTATAGTTTGATGGTTATTAAAGCATAGCAGGACGGTTTCATTTTTTCCTCATAATTTGTAATGGAAATAACATGTCCTGAGTATTAAGAAGAGGCAAACGAACATCAAATGTGTTTACACCGTCCATCTGTATTGTTGTATGCCACTTTAGTCAATAAGCTGATAAGTTCTTTTGAAAAGCATTGATACATGCGCTTACTGTTTACCTAACTCACAGAGTTTTCTGATAACGAATCGTGATTTTTTTGATAGAGATTGTATTTTACAATTATATAATTCTTAAGAGTCAGTGTTGGTAAGATATCAAGAGAATATAGAAACCGTGTTTCCTACTGTGTCAGATATCTCAGTACGAATCATTAACAGTACTCATCTATCAATATTAACATTTAACTGACCAAACCAATTTAAAAAGCTCTACTATTAAACAATAATGTCTACAAATCACCTACACTTGTAATTATACAAGATGAGAATAAATTAACACTGGTATATGTGTGCTGATGTTTGACTTTGCGAATAATCCATTTTTAGTCTGATCTGATCATTGCATTTTCACATATAATCTTAACTCACCATTTGAGTACAAGCATAATAATTAGTCTCAGTAAATTCTATTTGATACAAACGATTTTCAGAAAAACAAATACTCGAAATTATCAATTACAGGGTTTACTTTTGTTTACGGTTTGTTACAATGAGGAATATAAAGATAAATCAATAAGAGAATTTAATTTTGAAACTATTTCATTTTTATTTGTGATGAAATCTGTAGTAGAATAGAGTAATAGAAATTCATAATTTACATTTTACCTACTGAAACACTTAAATTATTTTCAGTATAGGAGTATGGAGATTGTTGAATTTTATTTAAATCATGAACCAATCTAAGTAGAATTTCGTTTTAAACTCAAGACCCTTGAAAGTTAGCTAATAAATAACTGAAAGTCGTATGAAATTTCATAAATGACGTTGGTGGGCATAGACCATGTGGTTGGAGTCGGTGCGATAACAACTATTAGTAGTTAGAAATCTTTAAAGATGTGATCCGGAATCAGTTGCAGGAGTGCAGAGACATTCACTCTTTGTGTACATGTAGATCCTGAGCTTCAAAATTATTTTATACCTTTTATTTTGTGAATTATTTCTCGCATCTCTATATCAAAGCACTTTTTTAATGTTACTGCTAATGTTAGTCCGATATTCATCGTGATAAATTCATGTCGTCGTGTTGTTAGGACTTATGAATTTGAAGAGTTGCCTATTTGTACCAGATTCTTACGCCATTTTTTAGCTGACTGACTAATTCTTGATAAAAATAAGATTACATTCAAGGATTAAGTGTGCATTGAGTTAATCAATCGTCAATAAAATACACTTTTATCCAAATATTTTCATTGTAAAAACTATTTGAAGAAAAGTGCTTGGATTAGAAATCACCGAAAGTTATTGATGCAAATGACGAAGGCTAACTGGATAAGAAAGAAGTATTTGTCTTTTACTTTATAGCTAGTTAAGATATTAAAGTAAACCAAACGTTCCTGAGCCTTTCAACCATACTAAGTTAAGAAAGTGATAAACTCTAGATTTCAGTTCAAGTGGATTCTATTTCTGTTTTAGTGTTCTAACAGCAACATGTGAGAAAGTGAAAGTTATGTAGTATCCAAGTAATTTAAAATTATTTTTCAATCAATTTCACATTTTGAATAATCTGAAACCCCAAAACTATTCACTCATCTAATTAATTAGGATTTGTGTTTAGAATCAATTATTAAATTTATTATTTGTTACGGAATGACGTAAATCATCGACAATACTATCCATTTAACTAGTTCTCAGACAGATCGATCTATTTTAAAAATATATTTTTCATCATTATCATGTATGGTATAATATAAAAAAAGAATTAGTGTAACTGAGGTAAAAAAAAACTGAGTAACTGTATTTTTTGTTTTAAATAGATTAGATATCGCATCATCAAAAAATATCATTAGGACAGTGAGAGAATGGATACACTTACTGTTGAAACATAGTCAGTCAATCAAGTCATGTGCACAGTAGAGCCTGACGCATATGTGCATAATTTCAAGTTGGCATACGATATTAACACAGGGAGATGAAATTATAAGAACATCCAAAAATTGTGGAAATAGTAACAGTATCAGTAGTAATAACAGCAAAAATTGGGTATAGTAAAAGAAAAGGTATGGGAAGATTTCAGGATTAAGGTTCTAAGAGAAGACAAATAGCGAATGCATCTGGGCCATCATGAACACTTCTAAGATATGTCATTCAAAGTCTTCAACCATTGGTTAAGATGATCACACGAAGTTCAATCAGACAGTCTACATTTATCAACATAGTTCAAATTAATTGTCAGTGTCTTCCTGAACTGGTGGACTGTCCATCATCTACTTTCTTTCAGCCTATTTTTACATCAGACAACATCGCCCGTCAAATTAGACAGTAGTTGGGTATACACAACATATATCATAAAACATAGTGTTGGTAGTGACTATGAGTTAATCAAATAAAATTAGTACGAATGTTTATCCTACGCTGTATGTGAATATGTCAGTAGAATGATAACATGGTTGGTACAAAAGCTAACAGTCGTTATTTCAATTTTTCCAACATATTTTAAAACAATATCATGCTACACTCTGATAAGCGTTAAAACTTGACTACAGTAGATTACCATTTTTGATATGAAATTTTTTTTCCAGTTAGCGTATGTCTGTAAAGAAACGTTATTTTAACTATCTAATACTTCTGATTGAATCTTTTAACTAAAGAAAAACACAAAATAAAAGTTCACTAACTTCATTTTATGAATAAATACACAAATAAAAATAATCTAAAACACTTTTTCGGTAGAATTACGATAATATATTTAAACGTGTACATATTTTCACGTAAAATATGAAATGATATAAATGAAAAAACAAACATCATGTTTGCGTTTTATTATTTCAATGTGAACTACTGGAGTAACAGAAATATTAATCTAAACTGTAATAGATATCACGATTCTACATGAAGTAGGCTATCCAGAATTACAGTGAAAGCCTCTCGAGTAAACTATTCATATGAAAGAATGTAACACTGTGAAAAATTATGAATTTTCTTCATTACTTGAATATTCAAGAACAATATATGAAATAAGAAACAAAAAAACTTCTATAATGTTACAGTCAATGCGATTGTAGCATGATTGTTTTAACCGCGAGAAAACTGGTTACTCGCTACCTGTTTATTATAAGTGGACAAATATTGATATAACACAATACAAAAAAGATGAAGGCGATGGATGATAGAGTAAGATTTATTGTTCGCCAAAATAGATTGAAACTGTCTGAATACACTGCGTTTTATATGTTGTACTTATACTGATTAATGCTCAAAGTTGAATAAATTGAACTGAGTATTAACAGTAGTAGTATTTAATCGATGACTTATAGTGTGCACAGTAGACTAAATTGTTGTAACTAATAAATATAAATTAATTACTGAGTTATATGATCATAACTTCCCAACAGCAATAAATGATAGTGACAAAATAGACGCATTCAATGTCACTACTGTCAATTACTGCTTACGGACAGTTCGATGATAATAAAGGTGAGCAACTTCGAAAAATGAACCGAAAGTGCTCTACTTTTTAACTGATTAGAGACTTGGACTAACTTCCCCTCTTTCTCTGTATCTGATAGCTGCTTGTCAGATGTAACTACAGCTTGTAAAATCATAATTTTCCCAACATCGCAGTAACGGATTAAAAAGCTTTCATATTCTAAGAAGTCAGAAATACGATGCAACAAATCGGTTTACACAATAACAATGATGACCCCGAGAGTATACAACAAAATGGCAAACTAAAAATGAAAATAACTAATCAGAGAATAACGAAACGTAGGTGTTATCGTTGACTTGCTTATTCGTCGAAATTACAAATTATTATCAAAAGTAAAAAAATAGATCGGTTGAGGCCTTAGTAGCAGAACTCTAAGATAATCCAGAGGAAGATAATGTCGAATACCAAATAAAAAATACATTAGTCTCAATGAAAAAATATTTGTTGAGCAAACAGTTATTTCTGATAAATATACTTGGAAAATTATGAACAAAAGGTGAAAATAGTATGGTGAAAACGGTGACAAACTAATACGAGAAGAGTATCTAAGACAGAGATAAATATTAAGTTTGACTTGTATTGAGGTTTGGTATTTATTCAAAATTTGATGATTTCGATAATAATCCAACTTGATTTTTCTGATACAAATTCAACTGATGAATTAAGAAAGAAATTTAAAGCAATTAGTCCCTTTGATAAATTTCGATAATGTCAACAACAATTCAATTCACAAAAATTCCGTTT